TGTATTGGCGCAAAAATTAAGCAACTGCACACCCACCCGACAACAGTCAACTGATAACAACTGAGCTAAGGTTAATGTTGGGTTAGGGCGAGGGGTAGGTGCAAATCTACAGTTGCTCACATACCGACAATTAATCCCAGATTATAGAGCTAATGATCTGAATTCGGGGAAAACTCTTCTAAAACATATTTACTTTCTTTGGCTGACAGCTGGCGCTGTTGGAATATGTAAATAACAGTTTGACATACTTCAAAGTTTTCTCCCACAAAAACAAACAAAGATCTGCAATGTATCTATCCTTCGATGCCTGTTCACTTAATACACACAGTTGTGCACCGTGCGAAATGCAATCAGTGTCGATATTCACGGTTGTTCATAGTTTCAGCGACTGCGCCGCGTTGAGCAAAAATTAGTTGCAAGTCAGAATCTACAAAGACTCTACAAAGTCAGAAACGATAGCCTTAACTGCAACACAAGAAAGCACAACTTAAACTCCGTTCTTAAATACTCACATATTCCAGCCAGACCGGAAATATTTCCTTAAACCAAGACCAAGGATTTTGAGCAAGGCTTCTGTTGCATAAACTGGAAACATTAAAGTTACATTGCATATATCTGAAAGAGTCTTTAAAAACAGCCCAAGTAATTTAAATCCAATACGGAACCAACTTACAAACTTTTACAAAGGTAAATCGAGCTATGCATCGTATCAGAAAAAAAATTTAGGAAAAAATACATGTAATATCAATGAATCAACTCACCACAAATGAAGACTATATGGTACCAATGGAGCTCTCTTATCTTCTTTTCCCTTTCATTTTGAGGAGCGTCTGCAAATAAAGAGTAAATAAAATCTTTCGCATGGAACTCTCAACATATTTTTCGGTCAGAACAAATATCATCTATGCACGGATGCACAGAATTTCTTTATTTGGGTAAGTGCCCCGCGTTTTCTAATTGACTCACAAAACTCACTCCACTATTTTAGCCAATCAGAGGCCAACCCAACACGCGCCGCGGCTTTTTCACGGGCGTTTTTCCCGCTTTTGGTACTAGTCACAAGACCGGTCAAGAGAAATTGCCTCCAGTTTTGATAAGCCGCCGCCTCGTTGCGTGGCGTAATGAGACACTTCAATTCTAAACAGATTTTTCAACTACATAATTGGATAAGCTTAGGATCAAAGAGGAGAAAATAACTTACTGGAAAACACAATGATATCCACAACAACTGAAATCCCATTTGTAATAATAATTGCGTCTGTTAAAGAAGAAAATTTCAAAGACGATTATTCAAAGCAGAAGTTAATGATCTGAATGTATTATGAAGACTAGCTAAGCATTACCTGAAAGCGGAGTTCAAGGCCAATAAATGTTTGTTCGTAGGTCTAATTAATGAAGCTTAGCTATTACGGCAAGGCCTCTAAAAACGTTTGAGTTCATTTCTTTACGTTTCAGCTCTTGAAATGTCTGGAAATTACAAGACAATATTCCAAAGTGTGAGTGAATTTGCTAAATTCAAGTGAAATGCAATTCTACAATTTAGCAGCAAAGATTCAAAGAGACTTACAGATGACGAACTCAAAAGGTTTCTGTGATATGAGCCAGCGAATACCTGTGAAAAAAATTAGACTTTTGTATCAGGACGAATTTAGACATCTAAGTTTCGGTAAGACAATAATCATAAGCATTTGTCATCAACTTGGGGTTTTGGAAACTATAGCAATCAAGCGGAGGAAGCTTTTCATGCTGATCGCATGAATTTCGTGACTTGGTTGTTTCTGGACTGATGATAACAAATCGTACACTTTCCAAGAATTCTTGAGACTTTTCTAAGACTTTGAACTATTTTCAATGGTTTTAGTTATTTACGAATGGGTTTGTAGGTTTAAAATCTTCAAGGATATTTCTTAACAAGCTCACACAGAGTTACAAACAAAACACCCCTTAAAAAATCCAGGGAGATATACAGAAATTTCAAGAACAATTTTTTGAAAAGACTGTAAAAAAGGCCACTAGAAGTGGATGAGGAGATTTAAGAGAATTCCACGTCAGAAAAGTTTACATGAATAACTTCCTGCCAACTGCTCACAATTCTCTATTTTACAAAAGAAAGATATAATTTCTAAGATATCCAAGGCCAAAGGAATCAGAGGTAAAAATAAGTGTTTACAGTGTCGTTGTCCTCCCTGTCTTGGCTGGACAATAAATTCCCACTTATTTAGCAACTTTGAATTGAGTGTCGAAAGTAATTCGGAATTGCTTTGGTTTTGATTTCTTTCGTTCAGTGATTGGTCCAGAAGACTTCCACTACTTCCTCAACCAATCAGATTCAAAACTAAAACCAATCGCGACATGGTCACCCGCGTTTTCCCGCGCTTTAGGCAGTTTGCTTCTTTTCACTTGGAGTTCTCATTAGCTCTTAAAGTATTTACTGTCTTCTGATTGGTGTTTGTCGCTACTCTGGTTTTGGTTTTACGACACTCAATTCGAACACCGCCCTAAAAAAGACGATTCAAGTACACTGAACATGGATATTAAATCTTGCCTCTGAGTGTGCGGTACAAACAGTTGCATGATCTAAAACAGCTAAACCACTGATCGTGATGTTCTGTTACCTTTAAGAAAACAACAACAATAACCATGTGAGATAAATCATAACACGATTTTTACAGCAGTTTTAGCAGGTTTTGAAATTGTGTTTTTCAAAATGTTCTTCAATTTCTTTCGATAAAATAATAGACACATACCCGCTTCCACCTCATCTCATTGTTTTCAAAAACATTGTAAAATTCATCCAGGCTAAAATAAAAGTTGATAACTACCAGTAAGTATAAATATTGAGTCACAGTCAAACTACAATGGTACCAGATGTAGAAACTAAATAAATTCTAAACTACAATGAAGCCGAAAAACAAATTACCAATTCAAATCTTTAGAAAAACTTAAAAATAATGCATTTTTGAAAGAGGACATTACCTTAATTGTCCAGTGTTACTTTTATTTAGTGACTTAAAAAAAAGATAATTCTCCACATCAGCTGTTGGAAAAGTAACAATCTTTAGATTAATGACCTTAATAATATTTCTCTAAAATATTTAAACCACAACAATAGTGTGTGTGAGTATGATTTGAGACTAGTCCAGGCTCTTATTGACTGACTATCGATAATAATATTCAAAATATTATAGTTAACTGCGAACTCGTAAAAAGTAATAAACACTTTGAGCACATTTTTTACTTATAAACCTGAAGTAAATAAAAGCACTTACTTCTTTTGGGGTCGTAATGTGACATCAAGCCTTTAAAAGTTTCCCATGGGATCCCATGTGGAGGCTATGAAAAAAAGTGTAAATTATCTTACCTCAGGGGTAGATTATTTTTTTTCTGCCAGAAAATTTGTTATTGACATATAAATGACCCTGCCTTAAATCAAGACATAAGTGGACTATTTCAGGGAATTAATTCATTGGGTATTGACTAACTAACTTGACTATCAGACAAACTGACAGACCACTAGATTGACAACCTAATGCCTAACTTACTGACTGACTCATGGCCTACCAGTGCTTGTCTCCTGGCTGTCTGCTCCACTGACAGACAGAAGATGATCTATTTGACTGACTGACTGACCAGTTAATTGTTAATAATAGACTGATACATTACTAACTTATCAACAACTTACATTTTCACCTTTGAGAAGTTCGTAAGCTTTTCTTATACCTTTCCTTAGAGAAAAGAAAACTACCAGTCAAGACTTTAACAAACACACTTAAAGTCTGAGAAACTTTTGTTACTCTGAAGTGCGTCAGATTCTTAAGATCTTTCTTTCCTCCCTGACCTGGACCATTAAGAAGGAGAATAGAGGGAAGAGAGAGAGATACTGTGGATGGTGTTGAGTTGACATCATGGAGTAGTTAGAATTCCTTATAATAACGGTGGTGGCAGACACTAGCCAAAATTCAACTGATTTGCCCCAGAAATTCTTACCTTTTATGAAGAAAGAGTTTTCTAAACTTATTCTTTACAATGTTTGTAAAGGCATCATAAACCACAGCCAAAAGCTGCAATGTTAAAGCAAGAAAACATTATATGTTTACCATGGGCTACATGTAATTAATTTTGGTTGGGGCCAAAATTTGGAAAAAAAATTACAAAACTTTTTGTCATGACAAAGTAATGAGTGACTTATGGTCTGGCTACAAACAGGAAAAGTTATCTCCTGATTAATATTTCTCTCTGATTGTTTATGTTCTTATCTCCTGCCAGTTTGACAATGTAGAGATACTGTTGGTAGAAATTAATTTCATCAGTCACTTCTGGGGGTGACAGTTTAACCCATAGCTTTCCACCCTCACATCAGTTTACAAGTTCTCTTTACTGTTATCTACAAGTTTTCTAAGGTACTTACAGGGAGAATTTGCATAATAATCAAGAGCTTCTTGACCTCACAATCATTTCCTTTATTCCACTGACCTTAGTTTGATTCAGGGATGATGTATAATACATGATGTATGGAGAAATTAGATCCTAGTCTTAAGGGTTAAAAGGTTAAAAGAGACAGGTCAAGAAAACTGGATGGTAATTGCCATACACAGTAAATGTGTGTGTAGTCTGATTGTCCAGGTGAGAGTAGTCCTAAGAGGACTCAGAGTGTTGTTGGTTATAGTGACTGACATTCAACAGCCTGAGCAGAAGTCATCATCAGAGTCAAGTGACTTGCCAGATTGGTAGAGACCAGTGGAAATATATTAATATTAGCTGGCAATAATGTGGTGCATGTCTGTGCCACAATTTATACATTGTGGTGCTTTGAAACCTTACCAGACTCATGAGAAAGTAAAGAACAACTGCAATGTAAACAGCAAAGTAGATAAAAGACCATCGTGATCTGATATATGCTGGCATCATTACGTCAGGATAACTGTAGAAAAGAATCCACAAATTTAGTGTAATTAATAAGAGGGAGAATATTTCAAGGAACTAAAATCATTCTAGCTTAACTTATGAATAACTATTTAATTTCACCTACTTTGCTGTTGTAAGTAACACAAATAAGCTAATGAAGCTTCTCCAGAAGCTGCTGAAAAACTAATTTTGCAAAAGGAGACTGAATTAAATAGAATTCCTTGAAAAGACTAGAAGTCAAATAAGCAGTGAACTTTTCTTTAATTGAATAATCTAGCATGCAAGTGAGGTGTGATGGTGGGAAAAAAATTGGTCTGTCAAATATGTCAACATGTTTGATAAGTAGGTTTAGTAACTAAATAAAATTACCTCATCCTTTTCATTGTCAGAAAACAGATAGAACCCTGCAAGCAATAAGGAAACTGTAATGAAGGCGATTTTTAGTTATTTGCTTTGGTTTGTGTGACATACTTTTGAATTGTTAGCATTAAGTTTCATTCAGCCACGAGACATGTGAGTTACACGTGTATTCAGAAGAGAAGATAGATTGAAGGATTGTTGAAATATTAGAGTAATAGAATGGGGAAAGAGGTATGTCATTTTGTTTATATTTGGATTTATATACCTAAACGTGTACAATCAAGGGTAGTTCTGTATCACTTAGGATATTTATGTTCTTTAGATTTATCTGTATACATGCCCCGCATGTTTTGAGTTTAGGACATTTTGATTAGTGTATATTGAATGGTAATGGCTTTTTTCAATTTAATGTACTTCAATTTTTACGAGCTTTCAAGTTTAATAAATGAATTGAGATTTAATGGACACTTAATTGGAGGTTCCGTCAATATAAAAAATTTCTCTGACGCAGCGTTGTTAGATTGATATATGTCAGTGTTGGCGCCATTACAGAAACTGTTAGTGAAATGTTGATTCATAAAACAATGCTAAAAGATGGTAGATCACATCTGAGCCAAATGTCTCTTCAACTGTTATAAGAATGATTAGTAAACTAGAAAACAATTTCTACAATCTACACTCCAAGATAACTATTCTTCACAAATCATTTAATTTAGGAATTCATGGAGTTAACTCTAATCAATCTCAGAATTTGGTAACCAGTGCCTTTCATATATCATTCCTTCTAATGAATAACATAAAAGCTAACAACTGATTTCTGGAGCATACTTCTCTAATACTAATTTTTTTCTTATTTCTTACCTAACATAGCAAAGATTACCATGATAAAAAACAGCAGAAAGAGCACGTACAGGATTGGGGGAAGTGAAAGTAAAATCTGTCTGAGAACCCTAAAAATTCAAAGTAAAAGAGAGTGCATGAATCTCATTCAAACAACGGGAAGAAATAACAGTCATTTCAGAAAATAGAAGTTCAAAACAGCCAAAGACATTTTGCTGCCAACGTCTTGAATTGGTGGATTACCAATCCCAGTGCTCTCTTATCAGGATATGTTACAGCTTCATCTCCCCTGATTGGGAGGGTACTCTTTATAGGGTCAGATCCCCAAGATAAACTGATCTGTAGCCCTTGAACAGTGAACCCCAAAACTGGTCCCTCCCTAACATCTATCTTTGAGATGGTGTTATTTCACCATTGATCACGAATTTGGTGGGAAAATTCTTCCTGGAGAGATTTTTGGATCCTGTTAATACTCTGAGGTTGGAACAATAAACAACAAATTTATTTACACAAACCACAGTGACAATTTTAACTTCAATTTTAACTTACAGAATGAGACTCACCTTCTCACCCCAGAACAGTAATGCGTGTCAATAAGAAAGAGTGGGCGCAGAGATCTTGTTACTCGAAAATGATTCTCCCTTCTCACCAGCACCACAATGGCTTCTATAAATACCACGCACCAGATAAAAACCTGATGGTAGGTGAAACATTAGAATTGTTTTAAAGTTGGATTGGTATTTCAGCAAGCCAAAAAACATATTGCCAAACCCATATCGATCTATAATACTTAAGAGGTTCTAGATAGTAAGAATCCCTGTCATTTTTATCAAACTAAGTACTCCTTCTGAGTCTCACATCCTTTCTAATTACAATTATAATAATAGTGCTAATTATCTTGCTAAACATCCACACCCAGTTTGTCCAGATAGAGAAATTTCAATCAAGTGTTGAGAACAATCCAAGATTACATTCACTCACTTGGTGATTGGTCCATAAAAGTTTTACTACCTTCTCAATGAATCAGATGTAAGACTTCAACCAATTGCAGTGTGATAGCTTGTGCACATTTAGTTCCATCCTCTGAGCATTCTGGTTGTTTTTAATTCAAGTCCTGATCAGCTTCTGGCAATTTCTTTTTCATTTTTCTGGTTGTCGCTGTAATTAATTTGGCTTTGTTTTTTTATACTTTCACTTGAAAAGCCCTCTATCAACCCTTTGTGATGGAAAATTAATGCATGTTACAACCAAAGTAGTACTGTAATGTACCGTGAAACGCGTTCTCTTATAGGAGAAGAAAAACTTTGCTCCCTGCCATTTCAGTTTTAAAGCAAGTCCAGCAAAGACAATCACCAGTGAGAGAACCTCCACGGCTGCATGCACCTGGTAGACAATATTGAATTCATTATTGTAATTTACAATATCAAATTATTAATCTTATATATATCAATTACCCATATTAAATAGTAAGCCCTCTAAATTATTCAGTAAAACTGCTATTTCAATCATTGGTTGATACTGAAGGATTTACTTCTTGACTACTTATAGAATCAATCTCTCTATGCTTAAGGACATCATGTTAAAACACAACTTAGAGGTTAATTATTTTGCATTTACCCAAAAATACAATTGCATTATAATCACAAGTGTAATCTGTATCTGTAAAGGAGGGGAGGTTAAAGAGAGCCATAGTGACCCTCAAATTGGGAGACACTTTCCCAGTATAAAATTGGCCCAGTAAAATATTCCTTTTTGCATCTTCTCATTGTCATTTTCTACATCAGGATCACACTTTTGCTCTGATGAAGGGCTAGCGCTGGAAATATCAGCTTTAGAAACTCTTTATAGTGGCCAATCAACATTATTGTACATTGGACTTGCTTAGGGTTAGGCTAACCCTATGAAAACTATGAGCATAAATTCAGTATACAACAGCATGTGAAGTTGATACGATAACCCAATATCTGCCACAGATATTTGGTTATCATGTCAAGTTCAAAGTCTGTCTAGTTTCCAAGCCCTAAGCAAAAGTTCGAAACTCACCCCCTTTATTCATACTTTGTAAAGCCCTATGCTGTAGGACTTTCCCTTTCAACCCCCCCCCCCCCTCCACTCCCATAACACCTCTGCCTAGAGCTGAGTGTACACTTACCTTGACAGGAACACTCAAATTGTTAGCTTTTAGTGCTGGTGGTTTTTCAGTGAGTCCCAAGGCAAGAAGAATCAATGCAGCCATCAGCTCCAAAACATAGAATTTTTGGGAATTTGCTAGAAGGTACCATCGAAATGTTTGAGAGGTGGGATGGGTTTCAAAGCGGTCACTGTTCTTTCCCTCCATGAGATATATTGCTGCATTCTACCAAAGAATTTGTTATTAAAAAATCATTAATCATAGAAGTGGGTGGCAAAGGGTTGACGAGTGACTCACAACTATCAGTAGCCCACAATTACTATGTGACATGTGAATTTTACAGAAAGGAAAGGAAAGGTGAGATTTGAAGTTTTCCCTTCTAAATTTGTGACCTGTGAAATATTGGGTCCCAATTTTGGTTTCATGCCCCAATTTTAGAAAAAATTAATGGATGAGAGGTGTTCAAAGTTCAACAAATTAACATGGGATTCAGAGAGAGCGGTTCGTAAAATGGAATAATCGTTTAGAATGAGAAATGTTGGCTTTTCTGTATTTTTAACATGTATTCTATCGCACTTTATGAGAAATGCGATATTGCTGGACATATGAAAGACATCAGATTACCTATAGTAAACGTGTTACTCATGCTAATAAAATGGTGGATAGTTGTTCGAGAGAAAATGGAGTTCTCTGCACTGTAGCATGATCATGGTTATTGTTCCTTCATGATGAGAGTGAGTGGCAAAATTTTAAATCAAATATTTCTTGAGGTTTTGATGAATTGCACCAAACATTTTGATTTGAGCACTTCTTTAACAGCAAGCTGTGTTGCAAGATTCATGATTCGTTGAGAGTGCCAATTATATTTTTCTGGATTGGTTTGCTTGGCGCTATCTCTAGATGAATGTCTGATTAATATTAACTATGGACTATTTTCTGTGGCTCCCAGGTAGCTTTTTCACCTCACGTGAGATCGTGTCTGACTGATATGCAGTGTTAAGAGGTGTTATTATTGAACAATGATTTTTCTACGAAAGATGGCCGAGTTTTCTCTTTGGTGGTTTGGTTGCAGTCAATTTCATGGTAAACATCATGGTGTGTTACTCTTGGATCGGGTCTTTCAATGTTAGAATTTTGAACAATTGCAAGTGTGTTGCAAGGTGGATTTTATGTCATTATTGACTGTTGAGGGAATTTTTTTGGCTGTTTCGAGGGTAATTTTGAGAACAATGGACGAATGGAAATGTTTTCGTTGCCTGGAGAGAGTGATCTTGTGGAGTCGTTGAGGTTTGGCCAAGGACGAATTCGGATACCGAATATACCGAATTCAGATACAAATACAGGACTTGGTCAGTTCAAATATTTTATTGATGCAGAACTGAGCCGGTTTGAAGTTGAATTCATCCATTTTCTGGGGGGAAAAAATAAGAGTTTTGGAAACAAAAGTTGCAAAATTTACTATATGATACTCTTTGTCTTTCATTTTCCTGCAATTTGATAGATTACTTCAAACAAGCCTTGAAATCTGATTGGTTGTTTTGTTTTTAGTGTAGCCTCCTCATTGGCTGGGAAAAAGATGCGATTTAAAGCAAACTGGACGCATATTTGCGTTCACTCAGGCTTTCTGTTGGAAAGAAACTTTGTTTTTTTCTTTGTGGGAGCTGACAAAAGCATTTGTTATGTAGTGTAAAGACCCTTTTCTGGGGTGGGGGGAGTTAGTGCCTTACATTGATGGCTATTACTTCAATACTTGTTCCTCAACATTATTTCCATTTTTTTTTCCTTTTTTGAGTTTTGACTGAGTGGGCTGAACCATTTATCAAATAGGCTGTCTTCTTATGTTTTATTTTTCTTGGTTAACAAAAGATTCCAGGCTGAGAAAGCTTTTAATTATAAAGTGTTAGGGTGATGTCTATTAACCCATGCAAGAAACCAATTGCTTATTTTTCTAAATACCAAAAGAAAACAAAAAAAAGTCACTACCAAAGCTTATTAGCTGATGAACTATTAATTTTATGGGGTTGTTGGAGTGGTTCTCATGAACCTGTGAAATATACTCCAGCATATTTTGTACTATTGCCCTCCAACTGGTTTGTTTCCATTTGGAGTTAGCAAAGGGAATATAAAGCTACAGCACAACTTAGATTAAAGTTTGTGGTTCATTCACACTGTTTTGAGAAACCATCCTTTTTTCAATATTCTCAATTTGTACTCTTCTCACTTCAAGTATATCACTGTTGTGTATACTCTGAAAATAATGCACTTAGCTATCAAGGGACAATACTTTGAGAAGAACATATGTGCCTTGAAGCTGCCCTCAACCATACAAATTTCTAGAGAATAAAATAGTTTGAACCCTATGTTACTATAACAATAGATTACAACAGCAATACACCTTATTGTTACTATGAAATTGGTGTAATTTTCAGATATGAGCGACTCAAAGGCTCTTTGTAAAAAGGTACAGTACTGATATCCCTGTACAGCAGTTTCTTGGTGAACAGTACCAGAGTAGTTTTCACTATATTTCAGTTGATAACCAACTGCATTTGATACATTTAATACTTTTGGTAGTTCTGACTGCTTTAAAAATGCATGTCTGGCTAATCATGACAAAGTTGAATAAAACTGATTTCCAATATTCATTATTTGTATAAGATCATTTGCAGAGCTGATCCCCTGTATGCTATTGTAAATCAAAGAGCACAAACTCAGTGCAACACATTTTGTGTCCTGCAATCTGTCCTGAATAACTAACTCGTTACCTTGACTTTATGGAACTGCTGTTGTTTTGTTAGGGTCAAAATATATTGGAGGACCAAGATTCTTTTCTATGTCTCAACTTAATTTGGAGTTGCAATAATTTGCTATATGAGCCTCACTCTTGCAAGAACACATCAGTTTGTTACAAGAAAACAATGTTAAATATCGACTGGCACGACATTTTACCTTTCTTATATTTTGACGAATTCTTTCACGACAGTTAAAATTAAACGTGCTTTTATTCAATAGTTTTTTTAACATTAACATAACAGTACAATGTTGAGGACATGGGGATACACGGAAGAATACGTGCATAGACAAATTTTCTAACCTTTCTTCTCTTGTTCCTTAACCTTTTCAAACTTCGTATTGGTATTCTGCTTAGTTCACGATCACGTCTACATACACGATGAGATTTGTGTCTATGCTTCTCTCGATTAACATAAGTTCGTTCAGTTGATATAGCATGTTTCTCGATGAGAGGTTCACTCATAAATGTTCGCTCATAAAGAGATCTCTCATAAGGTTCGCGGACCGACCCGCTCCGAAAACGCTCGATATCTTTTAGTGTGGGTCTACCGCTCACGATGTGTGCATATTTTGTATGCGTTTTTAGCGTATTATAAACAATGTCTATGCTGATTTTGCATCGCAACAGTCTTCATCCGCAATTAGTCTATGTGCTCATTAGTCAAAGCGTCGCGCATGCGTCAAAGTCTAAAGGATGCGCATGCGTGATAAGGACTTGACCGCGATTTGCGACCGAACGAACAAAAACCAAGCCGGAATTTCAATTCGGGCGTTTCCTTTGGAAAGCCCGAGTAAAAATGGTGCGATTTGTGAATAAATCACATCAATTAGTACCAATCAGATTACAGGGACCACCAGTGATTTCAAAATGGGTGTAATTAACGGAGTTAAGTGAATATGATGTGATCTCCCAACGAAGAAAATGTATCGAGTCGAAGAAACAGTTTTGGTCTCGGTCCCCATTTTTGTCAAAGAAATAAACACATACCGCTCAAAAAGATGATAATACGTGCAAAGCTGTCAATTATTTCTCGAATATTGTGCGTGTTAAATATTCAATAGTGAGATCTCATTTACATCTACATCTACTTTTATTAAGTTGGTAAAATCTGTACAGACATCACACCAATCAACTCGCGCGCAAAGTGAAAACACTATATGAAGGCTTAAAATTATATTAGGAACGATTTTGATCTAGAAAGGGGCCAAGAATATTCCACAATAGTGCAAATAATCGTGAACGCTGATCGCGGAGAAGCGATTGCGTGACGCTCGTTAAGTCGTAAGATGACATGTTATCACATGCCAGACGAAAAAAAACTTTAAATTCTCAGTCTACATTTTTTACCCACTCTGCAGTTTACATTTTGTACCTGGTCTACATTTTGTATCCGGTCTGCGGTCTGCAGTCTGCATTTTGGGTAAAATTTCGGCACAGCCCCATACTACATTATGCATTCAGTTTTTGGATAGAGGAAACAATGATAAAATCAATATTGTCGTTGGGAAAACAGATTTGTTTTACAATAGTATGGGGCTGTGCGGAAATGTTTTACTGCATTTTGTACTAACAGGTATCCGTAGCACCAATACAGTCATAAAATACCTGTGCGTGAGTTAATTCTTCATTTTCGTTCTTTACCGCATAAATACTCTTTCCTTCTGTGAAAATGTAAACGCTAATCATGTATCAAAACTCTCTCACGGCAGTTTCTAGAAGCAACCTTTTAGGTTGACACTTTCAAATAATGTTGTAAATATAATAATAACTTTGATAATAATAACTCTACTAACTTTTGATGTTTTATATTACTGTCGCAAAACCTACCGACTCTTTCGTAAGTCCACTTACGCGAAGATTCGCCATATCGGTTAATATTCGTAGAAGGAAGTGCAAAACAGTTTTGAGTCACAATACTCTTTTGGCTGTTGAATTAGTTGTTGAATTCGTTACTCTTCACAGCTACTTGCTATGCATACCTGAGAACAATACTTCTAGATCTCTTAATCTATTTCTTGTGGGGACAAACCGGGCCTTTGTTTACAATTCACAGACCCAATGTTTCGACACTTCCTGTCTAGTACCTCCATCAGGGGTGATCTAAACGCTGCAACAAGAGGTCCTTTATTACAATCACTAATTAGAAGCCTTTTCCCTGACGAGGTGTAAATAGGTGTCAGGAAGTAAGCCGCCATCGTCACGACGATGGCAGCTACTTCAGAACAGCCAAAAAACCCTTAAATTTCTCTTAATTTTCTGTCATTGCTTCAAGGACACCTAGTTAGGATAGCCTTCCTCTAAATTGTTCAAATACTGCATGGACCCTCTCAATTACAAACCAATGAGCAGTCGAGATTGTCAACATGATTTTAAATGTCTTCCTGTTTACTTAAGATCTGATGGGTACCTGCAAGCCCTAAGACTGTTTGTAGATTATTATCTGAGATTAGCTTTTGAGCCTCTTGAACAGATGTGGTATTCTTTAGAGCCTGTAGAGAATTTCTGAGGTCAACCATCAAAACATCAAAAAATATTTCAAACCACGGAAGCCGAAAAGGGACATTCAAAAAATATATTTTGCAAAATTTAAAAAATGTTTAGAATCAATATCTTTTTTAGACAAATCGCTTTTAAAAAGTTCGAGTTCGAGTTTAGGACATTTCGATTAGTGTATATTGTATGGTTATGGCCTATTTTACTGAGTATATGTACATAATAGAGTAATCTGTTGAACTCTTGTTGAAGGTTAACAGTTTTTCCCGCTCCCATTTTCAAAAGGTGGCGTCATAATTTACTTCTTCCTCATCAAACACTGTGTTTACTTCTCCCATTGTTATCTCATCAGTCACAAGACCATTGGATGACGTATTCGAGGAGACTGGTGATGAAGGAGAGTTGGTAGAAGACATGGGCATTTTATCCTCTGTTATATAAGCGTGCACTGAAGTTTCTCCCATGTTGAGGGCCCTTTCCTTTTTTATCCATTCCTACAAGGAAAAGCGAAACAGGTTAATTATAAACGAGATGTTGTTAAGAAACAAACAAACAAATAAAAACAAAAACGGGGCTTAATGATGGCGTGACCTCGTCGCTTCAACATTACTTGTCTGACTAATTTACTACAGTGTAATTTAACAATCAACAACTGACTAATTTACTACAGAATGATTCATCAGTTAACAACTGACTAATTTACCACAGAATAATTTACAAACTAATGACCAATGAAAAGTTTATACCTTGACTTCATCGTCGTACATTTTTACGCTCAAATCCATTTTTGTCTTGGGGCGTTTTCCTACGTAATGAACCTGCAGTGAAATGAAACGAGTGTACGTGAGTCACATAACAGTCTCAAACTGTATTGAAACAGTTAAACCTCGGTACAAAAGACCGCTATGCATCTGGGACCTTAGTGTATCGACTAAAATACTACAGCCCAACAAGTGTAAAATTTATGAACAAGAACCCTTAAATAACGATACCTGTTTATACGTTCAAAATAACTTATGGGTCTCTCAACGGTTCAATGTGTCTGACGAGCATAGGAAGCTGTCTTGCGGGACCCTTGAATGGTATCTCGTAATTCATTTCGATAACCAGTGATAATAGATTGTAAGTTTTCAGGTTATTGCTCAGTTGTTGAACGGAATATTACGCAAATGGAAAGCATAAATATACGGTCATTTTGATACTACCGAAGTGGGAAATCATGTACTATGCTTGCCGCGTGAGTTAGCGGCAGATCTCTGATTGGTCCCTTGACGGGTCAGGAATTTGAGTTGAAGTCACAGAGGTGGTGTTTCATGACTCAAGAAACATTCCCCTAAAAACAGAAAACTTGGGAGTTGAATGAAAATGTCTGACAGACTACGAAATAATGATATTCTTACGGGCTGATCGGGCTGTAGATCTTCCACATAGCTTTCGCCCAAGGCCAGGAGTTCTTCGTAGGTCACAATGATTTCCATCCTGATTTTCATATCCTCTGTGGAGACGTAAACCATTTTGTCAATTTTGAACACACTTTCCTCTAAGCGCAGCTATTCTCCATCTTGACAAGCAAAAAACTTAATGCCACTTCGTATAATGTGTACGCTTTGCGAACCCTTTTCCTTCTTCTATGGTATTTTGAAAGGTAACACACGCCACGTAGGCTTATTTTGCTGTACAACGTCTGTGACGCCACTAACGATCGAAGATACATGATCTTTGAAATACGAAATTCATTAACAAGAGACAACGGAGAACGTTTTCAACATTTCAATGTTGTTATTTATGGCAGAGTGGTCCAGAACAGTCTCGATTACAGTAATATCTGACGCTCTTCACCTTTCTCGTCGGTAGGATGTTCTTTTCTGTATTCAATCCGGAAGAGAAAGGCTTCTAGGATAAACGCCACAACTATTGTCATAACAACCTGGTCAAAATAAGATAGGAAAAGAGGATACTTGATTACCGAGAACTAGTAAAAATATGCCAAAATAGTTCTTTTCTAAAAGCACATAGAAGAAAATAAAAGAAGCTAGCAACGCCTGAAATGTTTCAGAAACGTTTTGGACCTTTCTTTACTCATCTACCAAGGTCATCCCTTCATTCTATAGTTTTTCTATCTCCACGGCGCTTTTTGCATTCCTTCTAGGAAGCGTGTCGCATATGGACCTGGTAGGTAGCCTAAGAAACTCGCTGAAGAGAAGCTCTCCTAAACTTCCATAGGCTCAAATGTGACTAGGATGGGATCTATAATTGGCCACAGAACAGTCTATAATGGGGTAAAGGTTCTGAGAGGACAGCGACACACACCCAGCAAACATTGACTTAAGTACCCCTTCCCCCGAGGCTATTTCAAAAGCCTAAGTATGCAGATCTTTGTCTAAAAACTTGTGTAACTATGATAATCGGTGATTTTAAGACCTACCATTGTGACAATGTAAAATGACATAAAGAATACTCTGGCCCAGTCTGATGTCAGGTAAACTAACCCTTCCTATCAATAAATAGGAAAAGAAAGCTGATTGTGAAAAGGAAAAAACTAATCCAGAAGTTGCACAAAATAAGCCAATAACTCCACCACACCAGTTGAATACAACTTAAATGATGCACAGGGATCGCGTGCACTCACTAAGCGAGTGGAACACTAAAACAAGCAATCCCGTTTTCTTACCATTATTATAAACCAGTTGTTTACCACTGTCAACTCGAACAAAGTCACTACAGAGAAACGTAATAAAAACGGTTATGTACGATGTGATGAAACTCTCCAATGGACAGGCGGTCATTTAAATGAATTTGAGAAAATTGCAAGCATGGGGCGGAAAGGAGAGTTGGGTTGGTGGGTGAGTTGGAAAAAGGTTTTGAATTCTTAATCACCCGCGCATCCGTAAAAGGCCCATTCATCAAAATATAGCTCATGATGGGTAATTTCTGTGAGTTATGATAAGTGTACGCCAATTAGCGGATGTTTACAGACGTTTTACATTTGAAGGGTGAAAAGAGGTCTTTGGTAGTACCGGGGTGATAGCGACAGAGGGTACGCTCGATTACCTGCCGTTTTTCGGGAAATGAATCTGCGCTCACTCCACCCCGATCCCCCTCTCGGGGAGGATCGAATGAAGAACGGACTTGAGAAAACGGCGGAAAATGAGCGTAAGCGTGGGGTCTCCCTCAGTGTGGTTTAACTGCCTATAACACAGAAACTAGTCATCTTTAGACTAGATATCTTTTGTTCGTTAATAAAAAAAGCGCTTCGCTTGTGGTTCTTCCCTATTTGCAATAATAATTTAACCAGAAACAGTTTCAAGGCGCTTACCGTATGAATGTAGCAAATCATTGAAGTTGTTTAAATAATAATAGCCACCCTCCTTGTATTCTCCTTCCCACGAAGTGTTTCTGTGCAAAATAATAATAAAAAAAGACAATTAGAGATGAGATACATTCAGGAATAGCAACATTTAACTCATAACGTCCAACTCATTCTCTCCATGTATCAGTAGGTCTTAAAATGCTAGAGGATTTTGGTGCATTTCTCAAGAGAGGCGAGCAACAAGGGCGACTGCTTCCGCTGCACAACCGGAAAATTACTGCTCGACTAAAATGTGTCCAAGAAACGCCTGTTCCGCATGATAGTGTGCAAAATAAAATAAAATGGTAGGAAAGACGAGGCTGTTGAGTCGGTGACCGACACATACTGGAGAGAAACAAATGTTCAGCGCTTCAACTGGGATTCGACCAAACGATCTTCCAGACAACTAGTTCGTAAGACTTTTAACCTCCGAGCTAAGGGTGACTTGTGGCTGGACTGAGACCATCCAAAAGATAATGAAGGGAAAGAGAAGGACAGACTGGTTATTGGGTGGGGTGCGTCGATTCCACTTGAGCTATTTCTGGTTTCAAACATATGCGGAATACTACTTCCCCTAATGTTCGCACACCAAATTAGCCTTAACGTGATCGACTCGCATTATATCACTTTCACGCGGAACATTAGATCGAGCTTGGTCTTCATGCGGTCGTTTCGGTGCACAATCATTAGTTTGAGAGACTACTTATAAAGAATTTTAGAGGAATTCACTCCTCCCTCTCTGACCCATCAGTTCCGCTCGATCCATGTGAAAAAATATTCGATGAAAGACTGTTATTAGAAAGGAGAATACTTACACACAACAATCCTTTAGTTCGAGTCCAGAGAAGCATTCTATTCCAATGATTCCAAACGAGTAGTACATCAACAGAATGACGACGGCAACCCTGGGAGAAAAATCGTTTCTTGTGAGTAACGTTAGTGCTTGGGTGACGTTAGCAAATCGCATTAGCAAAGTGGAAGACGTTGCGTGAAAAATATCATTCTCACGCTCAGCCATGAATAACCTTTAAGCAACAGTGCCACGCCTACCTGGCAGTGAACAATTCCACTAAAACAGAGAACGTATTACCTGGCCATTCGAGGTAATAAGACACCTATTGTCTCAAACAAGTCACGGTATCTTTCTTTCAATTTAAAAAGTCTGCAAGGAATATTAATTGCTTTAGTAACATGAAGAACTCAATAAGATTTTTTTAAAAGAACTGAATACTTACAGCAAAAGTCTCAAGGGTCTCAAACAGACGATAAAACTGAAGGATGCTGACACTGCACCAATAAAACCAGCCACAGTTACAAAGAAGTCGAATCTGTAAGATAGCGTAACCATAGAAGCGTTTAGTTCACAATAAGACAGTTAATGGATCAATGTCAGTAATGGAGTAACTGCACACCCACCCCTCCCCTAACCCGACAACAGTCAACTGATAACAACTGAGCTAAGGTTAATGTTGGGTTAGGGGAGGGGTAGGTGCACATGTACAGTTGCTCAGATACCGACTATTAATCCCAGATTATTAAAAAGCTACTGATTTGAAAACGGGGAAAACTCTTCTAAAACATTTCTACTTTCTTTTGCTAACAGCTGGCGCTGTAAATAACAGTTGCCATATTTCAAAGTTTTTTCCCACAAAACAAACAAACAAATAAACAACTGCAATGTATCTATCCTTTTAATGCCTGTTTACTTACTACACATAGTAGTGCACCGTGCAAAAAGCAACCAGTGTTGATATTCACGGTTGTTCAGAGTTTCAGCAACTGCGCCGCGCTGAGCAAAAGTTGGTTGCAAGTCAGAATCTACAAAGTCAGAAACGGTAGCCTAAACTGTAACACAAGAAAGCACAACTTAAACTCCGTTCTTGAATACTCACATATTCCAGCCAGACAGGAAATATTTCCTGAAACCAAGACCAAGGAGTTTGAGCGAGGCTTCTACTGCATAAACTGGAAATATTAAAGTTACATTGTGAATATCTGAAGGAAATCCTCATAACTACATGGATATTTAAGTTCAAGGAAATCTCCATGAGTCGTAAAAAACAGCCCAAATATTTTAAGTCCAATACGAAACCAACCAAAAAACTTCAATAAAGATTAATCGAGCTATGCATCGTATCAGAAATAAAAAATTTTTAGGAATAAAATACATGTGACACTGATGAATCAACTCACTACAAATGAAGACTATATGGTACCAATGGAGCTCTCTTATCTTCTTTTGCCTTTCATTTTGAGGAGTGTCTGCAAATAAAGAGTAAATAAAATCTTTCGCATGGAACGCTCAACACATTTTTCGGTCAGAACAAATATCATCTATGCACGGATGCGCAGAATTTCTTTATTTGGGTAAGTACCCCGCGTTTTCTAATTGGCTCTTAATACTCACGCCACTATTTTAGCCATCAGAGGCCAACCCAACACGCGCCGCGGCTTGTTCATGGGCATTTTTCCCGCTTTTGGTAATAGTCACATGGCCGATCAAGAAAAATCTAGTTTTGATAAGTCGCCGCCTCATTGCGTTGTGTAATGAGACACTTCAGTTCTAAACAGATTCTTTGACGACATAATTCGATAAGCTTAAAATCAAAGAAAAGAAAATAACTTACTGGAAAACACAATGATATCCACAACAACTGAAATCCCATTTGCAATAATAATTCCATCTGTAAAAGAAGAAAATTTTAAAGACGATTATTCAAAGCAGAAATTGATCTAAATGTATTATGAAGACTAGCAAAGCATGACCTGAAAGCGGAGTTCAAGGCCAATAAATGTTTGTTCGTAGGTTGAATGAAGCTTTGAAGTAGTGCTATTACGACACGGCCTCTAAAAACAAATGAGCTAATTTCTTTGTTTCAACTCTTGAAATTTCTTGAAATTACAAGACAATATTTCAAAGTGTGAGTGGATTTGCTAATTTCGAGTGAAATGCAATTCTACAATTT